AAGTACTCTTTCGGTCATCAGCAAATCAAGGCCTTTATTCAGCGTTTGATCGATCAGCGTCACATCCCTGTCCAAGGTGCTTTTGGTGACGCCAATCGTTGGTCAGACACCATCGCAAGCTTCCACAAGAACCTCGCTCGCTGTTACCTTGAGAACACCAACCCTCGTCTTCAAGAACGACATCACAACAAAGGTATCATGGACAACATTGATGAGCCCGTGGACCATGAGGCAATGGTCGTCACTGCCATTGATCTACGTACGATTCCAACAGTCCTACCAATAAGATCGCAATCGTATCCACCTGCAGGACCGCCAACGAAGGCCATGCCGTCTGCACCAGGACCTCCACCAGCAAAACCATCGGAGCCATCGCAAGCTGCTCCTCCTAAGAACAAACCAAGTCCGCCAGCTTCTTCGGTAGCATCTCCATCTTCGTCTGTGGGGGCCATTCCTAAGCCTAAGGGCCAAGGCCTACCAGAAGCTAAGGCCGAACCTTCACCCAAGGATCCACCGTTTGTTCCTGCCGTGTTCGATGCAAACTCGTTAGCGCCAACCGCTGAACACCATGATCTAGAAGAACAAGACGCTAAGACCGATGATGCCTGGGTTGTCTCAGTCAACACTTCCGCTGGCAAGACATTGCAATGTTCGGAGGCACAGACCGAAGAACTTCCGGAACTGCTTCCACTCGAGCTCTTGCCGAGGCGCACTAAGTAAGAACAAGAAGAAGAAGAACAAAAGAAGAAGAGACATAATAAGACCAAGAAGGAAGATCCAGATGATCCAGATCATTCTGATCCTGATGACGATGAAGATCCTGAGGATGATCCAGAAGATCAAGATGACGATGATGATCATCAAGGACGTGATGGCGGCGGAGAACCAAAGGAAGAGGTTAAAAGCGAGGATGAAGACATGAACGACGGACCGCCTGACGAACCAGCAGATGATCCAAAGGAAGATGAAGAACTCATGAAGTCCGAGGAGATGAAGGAAGAACGAGATGATTCCGTTGATAAGAAGAGGAACTATGACCATACAAGTACAGCCTCGGACATTCCCTTTGAATCAGAAAACCAATATCGCAACATGCGGCCACGCCGAAAGGACCCTGAATTACCTCCAGAGGGTACAGAGACCATGCCGGAAGCGCCGCCTGCACAGTCAAGACCTTCCACAGTCCAGAGTGCTATGACCATTACATCCATGGCCTCTGCCGGCATCGAGGACGATGAACCCTTTGACCAGACTCAGCTGACTTTCGAACCAGAAGATCTGAATTATGGTAAGGCCGTCTCGAGTGCCAAGCATGGTCCGTATTACATGCACATGGGTGACACAGTGTGCAGTATCTGTTTTAAGAACATCGCAACTTTCATGTGCTGTTTCGTGGCCGATATCAATGTATGCCCTGCCAGTTTTCTAGACCTCATGCACGATGCGATTGTAGCGCTCGCTACATGACAACTTTCGATGAATCGCTAAATCCGAATCATGAACATCAGCTCAGTTCAATCATCGATCCCAATACTTTGAAGAACGCATTCGAAGAACGAACAACGCGAGAGCCTACAAGATCAACCGATCTTCCAACTTTCCTATACGGAGCTCGTGATGTACTTGCTGAATATCCCTGTGCCATCGAATCTGTAGGTCCTTTCTCTGTTGCCTTCCTAGCCGTCCGAGACAATGATGTCGAGGATAAGTTCGAACCACATTATTATGCCACCGCGACCGATCGTTTTCCTCACGCACTAGAACTCAACATCCACGACTATACGAACTTCAATGCTGCAACAGGATATGAACTACCATGGTACCTCCCGGCAACCTTGGTACACGCCCCTTTCGTGAATCAATATCGGCACTCCGATTTGTTCAGTTCTGTCATGAAAGCGGTGAGCTCACGGCCGACCGTGAGATTGAAGCTATCATCTCGTACTTACAAGACCTCGCAAGCAAGCTCTTGTTGACCACTGGCATTCCAAGACAGGTTGTTAAGAGCTTACAACAACAGAGTCGATGTCATGTCTCAAGCAAGAACCTCTCGGTTTTGACCTTGAACTTGGGACACTGGACTCGCCCTCACGGACTCCCAAAAGAACACCAGAATCAGAAGTACAAGCCATTGAAGGAACAAGAACCTGTTTTCCACAAGATGATTTACCAGAATGATGCACATGTGGTGATGGTCAATGAAGCTGATACTTTGACCGATGAGATGATCACGGACATTGTTCATCACGGATTTATAGGAATGAGAGTCAAGAACCTTGGAGCACCAGCAGTAGCATGTTTCGCCCAAAGCCCTCCGAATAACGTTTCAATTGACCTTTGCTATACGGACGCCAGAAAGATGAATGACAAGGAAACTTGGATTGCCACCGGTGCAGTTTTCCGTGTCAATTTTGGCAATAGGTCCAGAGCGTCCGAGCCAGAGATTTTCGTCGAGAGCAAAGAGCAATATGAACAGATTTCGTCCTGTGAACAAGCAAAACAAGCAGGAGTCAATGAATTCTTCGACATTCTGCATCAAGAACAGCAATCACATTTTGACAAGGCGACACGTCCTTTTCGTCCCTGGTTAAGCACTGGCCGACATTTCAGAAGTTCGCATATCTATCTAGAACAGTGTGCGCGAGGAGCATCAATGTTCCCGGAACACACTGTCGAAGTCCTGGGTAGTATGAACGAGTTTGTCGACCTGACCATCAAGCTCAACACTTCTGATGCCGTCCGTTGGGATTCCGAAACTGATCTTGGGGACAAGACTCCTCTTGCATATAAGAACAACCAATCAACACAGATACATCGTGCTGGATTTCCTGAGACATTCTCCATGCCAATGCGCAATTGTGTCGCAAGAAAGGCATGCCTAAGATCGCTGCGTGTTTGTCCAGATTCATTAGGGACAGCATGACGATGCATGTCGATGATCTGACCGGAGATGGAAACCTAGCCGTCAACCGATTTCGATTCACAAACGCTGATGGGAATCTGCTGTGGACTCATCCACCATTGCATCCGAGAATGCATGACCACAGTCAATGAGCACTATTCCAATCGAAAACTGAACCATCTCAGGATCAATGTATCGGTCCATAGTTCCACTCCAGCCGACTTTGAAGCGCGATGGATCTTCAAACATTTGAAGCAATGAGAACGTACGAACCAAATTGAATTTCCCAAGTACTTCGAAGGCTTCCATCCGTCTGAGTATGATGTCATCTTGGGAGCAGTAGTTACTTGGATCAAATGGAAGAGTCACCGACACATGGTCTGTCACAAGTACGCAAAGAGTGCAGTTGGAGGCCACCATTCAAGCTCAGATCCAAATGAACTGTAACAAAGCCTTATTTTCAATCCTGCCCTTGATGACCGAAACGATTTGGATGGCAAGAATGGAGCGATCCGACCAGCTCCCAAGATCCCATACACTGTCGAATCTTGTGAACGTTTCAAGCACTTGCCGCAATAACCACTGTTGATAGGTGGAAATGACCAAAGCTGGCATCATCCTTTGCAAGTGACGATTAAGAACGTACACTCAGCCGCCACTGGCAGTTCCGATGCGGAAGAACTTGAACATAAGCATTCGATGCATTCGGTCTCACCTTCGTTAGCACCTGTAGATATCTTCCCGTACATAGAAGACCGACAAGCAAGAATTCTTGAAAACGAGAATTTACAATTTATAAGGCCTTCCTTGTGTCAATTATCGACCAAGGCAATTTCATGCACAGAGGTTAGGAAAATTGTGTCTGTTTTGTGTTTCCTTTTTCCTCGAACTAACCTCTGTATGGTCTCAAGACTGAGAAACGCCGCTAGCTTTCACAGCGCGACTGCGTTCGACTCGTGTCCGAGCATCGTCCGATTGGACCTCTCTCGAGACCGTGTTCTTTCCAACGGAAATCCACTGCATTGCACTTCGTGTCAATCCCCCCCTGGATCAAGTCCCCCCTGCGCCGGTTCACGCCGTCATGGACTTCTACCAGGGGTTACTTGTGATTGCCTGCTACCTTTCGTTCACCCCCTCCTCTCTCAAGTTACTTTGCAGCTGAAGCAACAAACGCCACTTGCCGGGGGGCACCTGTGCAGATTTGCGGAAGTCCAAGAATTTGGGTTCCTGGCATCTTTGTCTCTGGTGCTTGGTGGCCTCCATATCTCCATCCACTTAATCTTCCCACACCCAAGATCAAAGGTTGCAAGAATGTTTGATGCAGTTGGAGAATAGATGTATCCCTGTTGAGCTGATTGTTGGAGGTCTGTTTTTCTCAACTTTTTGGTGTGTTGCGTGCTTTGGTTGAATTGAGGTCCTTGTCGTTTTGCGGCTCACAGGATTCTGCCCAAGTAAACCTTTATATACAATTTTTTTTGCACAACTATTGTCCCTTTTTCAGTTGAAGGAGGCCACACGGGAGCAGCAACATTTACATGCGTCAGTATGCTGCTATTGTATGTTTTCAAAGAATTTGTTGAGCAATCAGAACATCATGTCGGACACGGCACAGTCGAACCGTGCGAGAGATGAGGCACTGTGCGAGTTTGATACTGCTTACTGGGCAAGTGAATGGGCCAAGCCAGGAAAGTGGACCTTGGCCTTCAGGGCCGCTCCAAAACCGCCTCGGTCGCCAGGTGGCCGAGATTTTGAAAGGCCTCAACTTGGACAAGGTCTTTTTCTCCCAGAAGCTTCAGACTCGGTGTGAGGATTTGGAAATTGAATACAACTGATGTCACAATTGGGGGAATTTTGTGGGGGGATTCGAAATAAACACGTTTTTGCTTCTTACTTCAGAAGTGTTCTTTTTAGATTGTCACTCGATCAAGCCGAGAGAAGTAGTCAGTGTGATTTATTTGGACGGCACCATTTGTCAATCATTGCAGTGCTTGCATCAAACAGGAGCTATGACAATCACATCAATGTCCTGAACATTCACAATTGGCACTTGCACTCACTTGTCCTGAACAATGGAGCGGTGGGTATGACAGGTATGTTATGAACCCAAACAAAACAACTTGCACCACAGAAATCTGCTGACCATGTCGTTTGCGCCAAGCTTTGAACACCTGCAGAGGCGCGACAAGCATTGAACACCGCCCAAAGATCAAGGAAGAAGGGTGTTTTCATGTGATGGGGCTGAAGCCTTTTGTATGTAAAACACACAATTAGTGGAAGGACGAGTGCTCCCCTTGTGGCAGAAGAAAGACAAAGGATCCTTTCTGTCCAAAACCATCGGGTCACTTCGCTGCGTCCCCCTGATCAGGCTGCGGGTTTTGCCCGTGGCTCCGCATGTGCTGCACGTGGAGCTCCACCGGCCGGAGAAGATGAACGCCTTGGACTTGGTCTTTTGGGAGGAGCGCTGTGGCCATATGGGGCCAAAGGAGTTCCCACCGTTGAGTTTTTTTTTGTTGACCAAAACCGGTGGGGATGAAACGAGTCGCCGGCCTGCGAAGAGCTTCTGTACACGGATTAGGGAGTTGTCATGTTTTTTTGGAGCTTTGTATGGGAGGGTTCTTCTAACGCTTTGTGGGCGCGTCTCATTGAATCCCGCAAGGAGATCAAACTTTGCTTCGAGATGATTAAGCAAGATGTTGACACCCGAGCAGTCCTTTTGTCAGGACACCTCCTTGCGCCAGATGGCGACACACTATTTGTGTGAGGGTGCAGTTAGCCCCCCGCTCTATGGAAATCCGGACATTTTGATTTGGACTTCACAAATCGGTGTCGCAGTGTCCCTGTAGGTGCTGGCCACCTCTTTTGTTCCGGTTTGGATCTGAAAACTGCGCTGAGCATCTTCAGCAGCGATGCGGTGACTCGGTTTCTTTTCACTGGAAAGAGAAACAACACCGATTCCAAGAGGTGCAGCTGGTTTTGGGCACATCAAATACTCTATATAAATATATAGATCGTATAGACATGCTGAAGAAGGGTTCTTTATCGACTTGGAGGTGAGTCACTGGCCTCCTGCCTCCTGGCCTCGAGGCACAAGACGTTGCAAGGCGGGCTCTAAAGATCCGGAACTTTGGCAAGATGTGGCAGGACGCTTTCACATCGATTGACGCACAGAGACGTTTTGCAAGTTCTATTTGTCATTTATTTGTTTCATTTACCCCTCAAGCAGTAAAACTGTTGGGGTTCTCAATTTGCATTCGCCTGTTTGAGGGTGATGCTGGTCTAGTGATGTTCTGAATTTGTACCAACACTGGTAAGAGCTTTTTCTTTCCCCTTGGCCGTCCTTTTCCGCACGTAAGGAGATGTGTGGCAAACCAGTGATTGCCTGCCTACACGGCGCTGTGCTTGGAGCAGGGCTTGAGCTGGTTGCGGCGTGTGACATTCGCTTTTGCACCTCGGATGCCTCCTTCAAACTGGCAGAGGTGGATATCGGTCTGGCCTCTGATGTTGGTGGGTTGCAAAGACTACCCAAGATCATTGGCAACCAGACGCTTGGTTCTTTGATGCCTTGGGATTGCGGTTTGAAGTTGAAGCCTGACTTGTACGTAGGGCGAAGTCTCTTGCCTGACTTGTACGCGCTGAGAGGACCTGTATGGAGTTGTGCACCAGTTTCTGTGTTCACTAGAAGCTATATAGAATATTATAGAATGGAAGAACATTTCCAGCATTTCCAGAAACATCCCAGAAAACATGTCAACCCTTATAGAATTAGATTTGAAACCAAAACCTCTATGTTTGTTTGGTCGAACTCTCCGAGTCCTTCGAAGGCCTGGCCTTTTTTAGAATCGTTGACTATATAAGTGACTGGCCCACTCTTTGATTGACTCAGTGAACGGACTCGCTAACTGACTGACTGAGCGACCGGTGCACCGACAGAGGGTCTGTTTGACTGATTCATTTGTTGCTTGCTACCCCTTGGCCTTCACCACGTGACTGCGCCTTGGTCTGTTGCGCGGGAATGCTCTGGATCCTGCAAGGCGCTCGCCTTGCAGTTCGCTCAGGAGCTTGGTCCGGGAGCTAGCGCTGTCTGGTCGGCAGATGCTGGGATCCGAGGCCTTTCAGCATGGCTTGGTGAGCCGAATCTTCGACACTAAGGAGGCCATGATGTCCGAGGGGCTGGCGCTGTGCCAGAGCATTGCGTCCAAGAGTCCGATTGCGACTCTTGGGATCAAAGAGTTCTTGAACTACACGAGGGATAACTCGGTGAAGGATAGCTTGGAATATGCCATTACTTGGAACATGAGCATGCTACAAGGGAGTGATTTGGCCATTGCAACTGCGTCAATGGTACAAAAGTCTTTGCCTGAGTATGAGAACTTGCCTGGAGCGAAGCAGTCTAAGCTTTAGCACCAGGCCTTCATCTTTGCACTGTTTCACCTCTTCTCGAGGAGCATTCAGTGGCAGGGAAAAAGAACCAAAGCGCTACAGACATTGCGATGTTCTGCAGCTTATTGATGATGCATGCCAAGTCTTGAGGCTAAGCAGTGACCGTGCCCAGAAGCTTCTACCTCAAAAGTCCTGATGCGCAAGATCAAGAAGGCTTGGCCGGCTTGGACCAAAGCACAGTGCCCAAATCATTGAACGCTTCTCCGGTGAGTTGCCAGGAGGAAAGCCAACGGCGGGACAACCAATAGGCAAGTTCTGCCGAACGTGCGCGGAAACTTTTCGTTTGGACATACATTGAAGCAGCTCAATAGCAATAGATTTTTCATACACATTTTGTTGGCTCTATTGCTTTGAACCTCCAATAAGCCAACACCGGTGTTGGGTCCCTCCATGCGCCCATCCTGCCACACAGAACAACCTCCGTCCCAGGTGGCAATGCTCCGCACTCCCTAGACCTCCAGTTGTACCGCCTAAAAAGGTATGAATGGACCCTCCTGACACCCGGGCCCCCAGTCCCACCACCTTCGAGTTTCAAAGACGATCAGGAACCCAGCTAAGCGCCCTGAGTTCTCAGGCGGCGATATCTTATAAAATTATAAAGCTATGCCAGTTCATTCGGTCCCCAAAAAGAACCCAGAACCATCCGAGAAACTCGAAGCTCTCGGCCCCAAGCAACGACCCTTCCGAAGGCGCGAGCGACCTCCGGCCACGACGTGACCTGGGACCGCCGTCGCCTCGAGCTCGTGCTACCGAGCGGAGAGCGGGAAAAGCCTCGGTCCCGGTCGATGCGATTTGGAGCACCACTCCTTTGGCCCTTTAGGCCGATCAGCCAAATCTGACCGGCACAGTGTGTACTTCTTTTGGGTCACCAATCGAAGATCTCCCGCCATTTTGGTTGGGGAATGACCTGTTCCTCAAAATAGAGTCGACCATAGTCGACCTGTGAGTTCGTACCTCAGTTGGCTGGGTCCACAGTCGAAAAACACCTGTTCTTTTGGGGGTGGCCGACCCGACCAGGTGAGCTTCACCGCTCGCCCGGCCACGGTGGCTCCGTGGTCCGTCGTCCGTCGTCCAAGCAAGCTGTGAAGATGCAGTTCCAGTCCCAGATGAGCCATTTCTGTGAACTGCATAACTACATTGGGGTGGGGACGGAGGGGTCCAATGCGCATACATTCCATACTCGAGAGGATGGGCATACGGATGGTGACCTCTAGGAGCAGCTTCTGCAGCCAGTGGCAATGCCACTCTTAAGTGAGTTGCGGTTGTGCAGACGTGTGTTACCATGACTGGGCTGCAGATTGGGTGGTTGGGATCTCTAAGTATTTTCGATTCTATTTGAGCTGGCTTCGGCCCAAAATGAGGGCGGCATGACTCCCCAATCCAGTGACTAAGTCACTGTCCCTGTCGTCGCCGGGTCGACCCCCAAGCGCTCGGTCGATGGCAGCGACCGAGGCCGATCCGATGGGTGCTCGCGCGGGGCTTCTCACGGTCTGTGCCTCAGTGGAACGAGTCGCGGTGGACTGGTACTCGAACGAACGAACTTGGTCAGGTCGTTCGGTCACCGAGCGAGTGGAAGCAGATGGATGTCCCTGAAAACCACGGAGAGTGGAGGGTGACAGATGGAAGTCTCCCCCCCCCCAAAAAAGATGGAATGATATGGCTGAAGTGACCCATCCCCAAACTGCGATGTTCACCCACTCTTTGTGCTCTTTCAGTATCTTTGAGTCCATGATTCTCTCTGACCTCGCCGTCAGATCGGGCTCCAGCCTTGGACATCCGACGTCTGATGCCAGTGATGCAGCCAGTGCGCTTGTTGCCAAGTCATCTCGGGTGGCCGAACAGGCCCCCAACGACGCCAGGGTCCACACGTACGACGCTGCAGCTTGCCTAGTGTTTGCTATTGAAAGAAGGGCAGATGGAGCCCACACATGTTGGCCTGCTGCAACCACCCCAGAGTCAGCCAGCAGTTGATTTGGAGCCCTCTTGATCAAGAAGTGCCAAAGCATCTTGACTCTTCATTTGTTTCTGTTGGTCGAGAGCTTAGCAGATCTCAGTGATCAGATGGACCAGGTTCCAAAAGAACCGCATGTGCCGCATAATGGTTTTGAGTGCTTGCGGAAGTACTTGGAGCAAGGAGGCCTGGTTTTGCTTAGAACGATTTTTTAAACTTTCCTTATGTGTGACATCCCGTGGCACGGGGAATCGATTGTTTCTTGGTTGGACCAGCAAATCCCAGGAGGCTTGGTGGCACAGGTGGCTTTTGCACAGATCTTCCGGGGAAAGATGGTGATGCTTTCGACCCACTCGGATCGCTCCAGCCGGGCCGCGCAGATGGCGCTGAGAGGCTTGCAGGCAGTGAATCCCAAGCTGGCCTTTGACCTCGTGATCGATTTGAAAGGGAGTATCCACTCTCTTTCCATGGATCGATATGGCTTCTCTGTGCTGAAGTGCATCATCGAAATCTTGCACGGGAGCCATATCATGGGTGAAGCGCTTGATGGGCACGCACGAAGTGTGGCACAGAGCAAATTCGGCTGTCAGATCATTCTTTCGCTCCTCAACCACGCAAAAGGCTGTAGAGCGAGAAGCTGATCCACCAGCTGATGGATGATGTGCCCGCTATAGGGCAATCCGCAAGTGGGCACTTTTTGCTCCAGACCATCACGAAAACTCTTCAGCAGAGGCTGCGGCAACGTCTGCAAGGGATTGGGACTGCTCTTGATCAGAGCTGGCCTATATTTTCAATTCAAGAAGAGACGGAGACGGAAAGTCCCTCTTGAGAGCGGTGGCTCTCTGTAGTGACATTGTTTCAGGCGTGTAGCCTATCTGCGGCTGTTGAGGCCGTTGCGATGCAGGTTGGACCCAGTGCAACAAAGCTCTCGGAGAATGTAGGACATTGAAACATGTAACATGTCAGCTTCGATAGATCCCGATGACCTCAACAGTAGGAGGCTCTCGCAAAGGGGTTGTATTCCTCAATCTACCCTAGACCCTCCAAAGTAAGTACCGAAAATGGGACATGAACCTATAAACACATTGTACTTGTACTCATTTTCGAAGGTACGAACTGAGACTCCAGGTACGAACTGAGACCACATGACCCTATCAAAAAAGGTATAGCGGACTCGGGATCAGTTGCATAGCGGACTCGACTGGGTCCTGGGACAACTTATGAAAGCTTACCAGCTCCGCACAAAGACGAAGCCGTTTGGGCGCAAACTGCTTGTTGTATCCTAACAGAACCCAGTTGTTTCTTGGTTCTGCTCCCAAGAGACATGTTGTAAGGCTTTGCCAGGAATTGGGCGATAAAACTATCCAGCAACGCAGCAGCTTAGATCAGCCACACCCCACAACTCAGTCAGCAGAAATTCAGACCCAGATTAACGTCCTCAAAAAACCTAAAGAGTCGTGCTTTTCACTATCTCCAGTTTCCATGAGGTCCCTTGACCCATAGGGATCGAGGACAAGTCCTCAAGCGGCAGAACTTGGTTGCAGCTGGCAGCTTTTGACGTCGAGATGCATCCGCCACGTCGGGGTTGCGCGCGGTCAGCGGAGCTTTGGTGTTCGCAGCACTGACGAAGAATGTCTGGTGCGAAACCGGACCCAGAGAGCGATTCCCAAACTCAAACACTCCATGAACGGAATATTTAACATAACATTAATTACAGAGACAAAGTCGAGAAATGGCAAGGTATGACCATACTTTTTGTTGCAGGAGACAGTTTGGCTTGCGGTCTTGTTCAGAGTTTTCTGATCCATCGCTTTCGGGTAGGCCAGGATGCAGAAGTAGTCAACCTGGCGAAACCGCCTTTTGCACTTACTGTGGAGGCTGCTTCCACCTCCACCGAAGCAGGGGTAGAAAAAGGGTCCAGATTAAGTTGCGGGAATGATGGAGCGTGCTCAAAACATGGTCAACATCTTTGAACAACAAGCACCTTCAAAATGACTTTTTGAACCATTGTAATTTTGCATTGAATACGACCCCGCAGTCCCCCATAGCAGTTAAAAACTCTGGTTTTGGAAGGGGAAAGGAACTTTGGGTAGTCCGTGTTCATTGCCAATACTGAGTGGGAATCCTTCCTCAGAAAATGCTCAACCATACCTGTTTTGTATTCAGGTCAGGTCCTACATTTGTTTGGCTACAAATGAGATCGTCAGGTCCAGGTAGGAAATATATGCCAGTTTGGGCTTCAAAACATTCGGCATTCCCTACCGCATCTCACCAGGAGCCGCTAAAACGCCGCTGATTGAAGGGTGGTTTTGCATCGAACAGAACAGGAGAGAGAGAGGATACAAGAACCGAGGATTTTGGGTTGCTCATGGACAATCATATACCCCTTGAACGCAGATCTATGAGATCATGGAGTATTTGGGTGGTCCATAGGATCGTCTTTGTGTCGCATTGTTGCTACTAATAAAGTAGAGCGTCCTGCTCTTCGCGCTGGGAACAGAGGGTGGACAAATATCCACTGGGCACATGAGCCAGCAAAATAAGCATGTTGAAGTTTTCGAGATTATATATATATATATATAGATCCATCGACCAAGCTCTTAATTAACGAAGCCATGCTGAACTTTGAGCGACGGGCTCATGTGACGGGCTCTGTGACCGGTCCTTTGTGACTGGTCCAGCTGCTTTCGACCTGTTTCTACACACCAAATCTCGTTGGGGTGCCAAACGGTCTGAATAAGAGCGCTCACAGGTCCAATGGTCGCAGGTTGATGCAAGTTGAAATGTCGAACCCGTTGGGATTCCAACAGCAGTTGATGCAAGAGGCTGAATCCCGAACAACCATAGTTTCTCAGGATTCTACACTCCAAGACTGTCCAAAACCAGCTCAACCATTTTAATTGTCTTCCAACCTAGGGCTAACTTAGGGCAGGGCAAAACTCAGTGAACGTCCAACTCATTCTCTTCATCAACCCTTTGTGGTTCTCAGTGAGCGTTGCCCCAACTTGCGCATTTCAGCTGCGACCACTTGGACACGTGGAGAAACCCTGACCAAGAGCGAGATAAGCAAAAGGCTGCTGTGCGGGAACCTGCAGCGTGAGTGATGTCGGTGTTCTCACCCGCCCTTGAGTACTCAGAGGAATTTGCTGATGATCCAGCATGGCAAGATGCGAACGTACTGAACCTACTTCCCAATGATCATTTCCTGGTAGCGTTACTCTTTTCTGCACATGGCATTCTGGACATTCCTATTTCCTGGCTTGCCACGAAATTGAACATTTAGGTGGAAGAGCGCTCTATGTTCCATTTCGGTGGCTGGAGAATGGAGCAACCTACTGCGGTCATGGTCTGGTTTCAGGTGGGTGAGACGGACACACACTTATGGATATGCGTACTCGTACTGACTTGACAGCGGTGCCACACGCCAGCCTAAGAAACCCAAATCCTGAAAAACAGCAGGTACGTCCAGAAGGCGTCCCTTCCGGATATCAGCCACACTTGCAGCCCTCTTCGTTGGGCAATCAGCTGCAAAGTGGGATTGCCCCCCTGCTCATTGAATCCCTGTGACTACAAGTGCACTGCAACATCGTGAAACACTTCAAGATTAGTGCGTGTCATCCCTTTACACTGCAACATCGTGGTACACTTCAAGATTTGAGAGTGTCAATCCTTCACAATTCAAAAGAATCCCTGTGACTACAAGGGACACACACACACACACTTATGGATATGCGTACTGACTTGACAGCGGTGCCACACGCCGGCCTAGGGTACCAATTCCTAAGAAGATAAGTAGGAAACCACTGAAGCCTCGGGGTCCTCAAACGGAGAAGGGGCCAAACTCGCAAGTTGGGGTCGAAGCGACAGGTTGACGTCGTACGTGCACATCTGCCGAACTCATTAGCCCTTTACCAGAAGATTGGAGTGAAAGCTTGTCAACGCCACAACCAAGCAGGTACGTCCAGAAGGCGTCCCTTCCGGATATCAGCCACATTGCAGCCCTCTTCGTTGGGCAATCAACTGCAACGTGGGATTGCCCCCCTGCTGAAAACGGTACAAAACAATCCAACTGGATCCCTGTGACTACAAGGGTTACACACACACGCCTCCCCGAGGGGAGGCGGAAAGCTAAGGTGAGGGCCAATGTGCACGTGTGCACGCACAAGACAAAAGAATGAAGACATGACAGGAGGACGAGACGGGACAAAGGGGCGTGTGGTTGAAATGAAAGTGGAACCAAGTGCACAGGGACACCCAATGAAGCCCGCCTCATTGTAAAGACCTGGGCGACCTGAAACCTGTGTTTAAAGGTATGTAGAAGTGCACGTACACACTAGTGCACGTAAACGAAGAAAAGGATGAGATGAACAGACATGAAGACAGGAGGGCATGACAGAAAAGAGGAAACAAAAGTGTGTGAAGGGGAAGGGATGAAAGGGGAACCAAATGGAGGGGACGAGAACCGATGAAACCAAACCTCATTAGAAGCACCTAGGGACCTGCCTCGTTTGGATGTAAGTGCTGTGTGTGCACCAGAGTGGGACAGGTTCCTACGAACCTCAAAAGTACTTCGGTCGCTCTGACCACGTTGAGGCGTTAAGCCAGCTTGGACCGCTGCGGTCACGTAAAGGCATGAGCCAACTTGGAATTCCAAAGATGAGACAAACATCCCACTTCTTGAGGCTTGAGCCAGCTACTGTCTGCTGCGGACATCTACGTTCCCAGAGCCGGGGAACATGGACAAACACCCGTTCAACGGGTCCACGGGAGGCACTCTGCGGGCTCATCCCAGACTCTCACTGGGAGAGACGCACTTATGGATATGCATACTGACTTGACAGCGGTGCCACACGCCGGCCTAGGGTACCAACTCCTACGAAGATAAGTAGGAAACCACTGAAGCCTCGGGGTCCTCAAACGGAGAAGGGGCCAAACTCGCAAGTCGGGGTCGAAGCGACAGGTTGACGTCGTACGTGCACATCTGCCGAACTCATTAGCCCTTTACCAGAAGATTGGAGTGAAAGCTTGTCAACGCCACAACCAAGCAGGTACGTCCAGAAGGCGTCCCTTCCGGATATCAGCCACATTGCAGCCCTCTTCGTTGGGCAATCAACTGCAACGTGGGATTGCCCCCCTGCTGAAAACGGTACAAAACAATCCAACTGGATCCCTGTGACTACAAGGGTTACACACACACACGCGCCTCCCCGAGGGAAGGCATATTTAAGGTGCCGATAGAGTAGTAGTAAGGCCAGGAACGAACCCCTAGTAGCGTCCGAGCACCTAGTAGGAAGGCCAGGAGCCCCAGTAGCATCCCACTCCAAGGTCCCGACAGGAGGGAGGGGTAGGGAGAGAAGAGAAGAGAAAAAGGAAAGAGAAGAAAGGAAGGTGTTCCCAGCTACGACACAAGCGTCCAAGGACACACCAAAGAAGAGAGGAGAAGGGTTCCCAGCTATGACGAAAGCATCCAGGGACACCCAAGGAAGAGGGAAGGTGAAGAGAGGAAAGAAAGAAAGAGAGAGGAAGAGAAAGGGAGAGGAGAGAAAAGGAAAATGGCAGGTGTTCCCAGCTACGAACAATCGCCCAGGGACACGCCAAAGAAAGAGAGGGGTGATCCAGGAAAACCCCAGAAAGCAAAGAAAGAAAGGGGGAGGGAAGGGGGAGGAGGGGGGACTAAGCTCTCGACAGGTTGCAGTGAACCTTGAACCAGCTTCGGTCGCGACGTACGGCATGCCCGAGGGCGGCCACCTCTGACCGCTGCGGTCACGTGAAGGCGTGAGCCAGCTTGGAATTCCAAAGATGAGACAAAAATCTGAATTCTCTCGGCCTAGGCCACCTTCGCCCGCTCTGGGCGCGTACATCTCCAGGCAGGGGAGATAAAGACAAACCCCCGTTCGACGGGTCCACGGGAGGCACTCTACGGGTTCATTCCGGACTCTCACTAGGAGAGACACACTTATGGATATGCGTACTGACTTGACAGCGGTGCCACACGCCAGCCTAAGAAACCCAAATCCTGAAGAACAGCAGGTACGTCCAGAAGGCGTCCCTTCCGAATATCAGCCACACTTGCAGCCCTCTTCGTTGGGCAATCAGCTGCAAAGTTGGATTGCCCCCCTGCTCATTGAATCCCTGTGACTACAAGTGCACTGCAACATCGTGAAACACTTCAAGATTAGTGCGTGTCATCCCTTTACACTGCAACATCGTGGTACACTTCAAGATTTGAGAGTGTCAATCCTTCACAATTCAAAAGAATCGCTGTGACTACAAGGGGCACAGACAAAAGCAACAACATCAAAAAAAATTGTCTCTCTGTGTATGCAGAACCTTTCTGTGATCATGGCCTGCTTTCATCCGGATCACCTACTCCATGCTACTTTTTGAAGACATTCTGCGATCGTGACCTGTCTAAAGAATTGCGACTAGGAACAAAAACATTTTTTTTTTTAAATGTGTTGTCTTTCTGTGAGCTGGCGCTGCATGCTGCTGGGAGGAGGTGTTTGCGTGCGAAAACCTTGGACAAGTTTCAGGCCGTTGCCCTTCCTTTCAACTTTGGGTTAGGCATATGCTTTATTCATGTTAATAGCCTTTTGTGATCCACCAGGAATATATAAGGATTTAGATCCTGATGATGATTTCGGTTTGATTCTCTTACCACATTTACGTCGTGATTCTCAAACAACATTATGCTGTATGACGTGTGATATGTAGACTATTGTAGACTACGGCTTAGAAACATAGCACTTTTCACACACCCGATCCCGGCACGACGTTGTTGGTGGAAGTTCAGGCCGAGCCTCATCCAATGGGATTTGGGCCGCAACAAGCTGACTGAGCTGGATCAAATCTCAGAGTGCCGGTGTCCAGTGTGAGACAGTGTGAGCGCAGACGGTGTGCGCCGTCGCGTTTTGCGTTGGACGAGGAAGGGATGCTGACACGTTAGAGCGGAACCTGGAACACTTCAAGTCAATCTCCCAGACATAGTCCTAAGTCCTAGATGATTGTAAAGTAAAGTCAAGATGTTCTAGACATGCAGAGGCATGACACGTGACACGGCTTGAAGCGTGACATGCTGACATTCTGAAAGGGCACGTCTCTCCATTTGACTTGACCTGAAACGAGGATGTTTGGAAACCCTTTGACAAATCATTTACCATCCAACAGGTGGGTGGTGCTTGAAGACTGACATGTCTGTCTCTTAACCACATATCGTAGCATCTGAGATTCCGTCGGACTGGCGTTGTATGACTCCCGATCAGTTGGGGCTCTGTATGTGTCCAATTTCACCAGTATTCCAGTCCCATGGACTTGTAGGGGAAGTATATACATACAAGTATGTCCCGTGAAGCATTTGGGTAAGTGCTTCTTCCCCTACAAGTCCAGTCTGACCCAGTAAAACCTGGTCTTTTACTACTTCCTTAAGTATTGGTTTTGTATGACCATCTCCAGTAAAACGAGGTCAGACTGACTTGTAGGGTTCATGTGTTCTGAATCCAAACCCTTGAAAGTTCGCTGTGCAGATCCAGCGATGCTGAGGAGATCCCGAGCTCGCCGATCTGGACCATCGCTGTGTTCCAGCGCCACAGAGAAGAAGGAGAAGGTGAGCCTCCATTTTCCACCCTAATAGAACCCTTGGACCCTCCATGGCAGGGGTTTTGGACACCTCCCTCCATGGCAGGTTTTTTTTTTGGCCCGAAGAACGCCCGGAGTCGTGTTTGTTTGAGGGACCCGGATTCGTAGGGCACTCAAACTGAGGGGGTCAGTCACTACTATACTATTAGCCATTGGCCGATCAGAGCCCCAGATGTCCAGATGTTTCTTCCAGGTGTTTTTGTTTTTGTGCTCTTTTGGAAGACCGGTTCTGCAGGAAGATGTGAAGACTTCGCCGGACAGCATGTCGTGACCAGGCTAAAGAGCCTCTCCGGCGTTGCTTGATCTAAAGTCAGCTTTCGATTGTGGGAGCAGAAAGGATGATTTGCAGCTGGTCAGGTCCCAGTGTTGCCTTCGCCTTCCTCCAATACAGCCAACATTGGTTCTGACGCATTGGAGTTGGGAGCCATCCAACCTGGCTGTAGATTGGTTGGACCTTCTCCGGAGGTGCCATAGAGTACAGCTACTTGGACCCCGCCAAATCCCATGAAATGAGTGAAATCGATGAGAAGGATCAGGAAACCGATGAGAGTGTCTGACGAGAAGAAAAACGACAATGCCTCAGTCATGCTGGTGTGGTCCCGACTCGGATGGACAGCGGGCATTTTTTGAATGTTTTTGAATGTGTTATTTTGCAACTGAAGCAACCAACGCCACTTGCAGGGGGGCACCCGAAGTGCAGATTGGAAGTCCAGGAACCCGTTTGGGTTCGTGGCATCTTTGTCTCTGGTGCTCGGTGGCCCCGATGTCTCGTTGCCCACTTGATCTTCCCACAGCCAAGATCAAGGGCCGCAAGGATGTTTGATACAGTTACAGAAAAACGATGTATCCCTCTTGAGCTGATTGGTGGAGGTGCCCTCTATGTTTTTCCCCACTTTTTGGTGTGTTGCGTTGCCCCAAAACATAGTTGTTCCAACATCTAACTCTTCAACAGCTTGGCGTTGCATGAGGAATGGGATTCTGAGTGTTTCGATTTGAATGCACTTTGTGCTTTGGTTGAATTATAAGTTCCTTGTCGTTTTTGCGGCTCACAGGATTCTGCCCAGTTAAACCTTTATATAATATATGCAATGTTTTTGCATTCTTCTCTCTTTCTTAGTCAAAAGAGACCACACCGGAGCAACAGCATTTACATGCATGAGTATACTGCTACTGTATCTTTTAAAAAGACTTGTTGAGCAATCAGCGCATCATGTCGGACACGGCAAAGTCGAACCGTGCGAGAGATGAGGCACTGTGCGAGTTTGATATTGCTTATTGGGCAAGTGAATGGGCCAAGCCAGGGCCGCTCCAAAACCGCCTCGGTCGCCAGGTGGCCGAAATTTTGAAAGGCCTCAACTTGGACAAGGTCTTTTTCTCCCAGAAGCTTCAGACTCGGTGTGAGGATTTGGAAATGGAATACAATTGATGTCACAATTGGGGGAATTTCGTGGGGGGATTCGAAAAAGACACGTTTTTGCTTCTTACTTCAGAAGTGTTCTTTTTAGATTGTCACTCGATCAAGCCGAGAGAAGTAGTCAGTGTGATTTATTTGGACGGCACCATTTGTCAATCATTGCAGTGCTTGCATGAGAATTCACAACTTGCACTTGCACTCACTTGTCCTGAACAATGGAGTGGTAGGTATGACAGGTATGTTATGAACCCAAACAAAACCACTTGCACCACAGACATCTGCTGACCATGTCGTTTGCGCCAAGCTTTGAACACCTGCAGAGGCGCGACAAGCATTGAACACCGCCCAAAGATCAAGGAAGAAGGGTGTTTTCATGTGATGGGGCTGAAGCCTTTTGTATGTAAACACACACCATTTGTACACCAAGGAGGCCATGATGGCGCTCTGGCGCTGTGCCAGAGCATTGTGTCCAAGAGTCCGATTGCGACTCTTGGGATCAAAGAGTTCTTGAACTATAGGAGGGATAACTCGGTGAAGGATAGCTTGGAATATGCCATTACTTGGAACATGAGCATGCTACAAGGGAGTGATTTGGCCATTGCAACTGTGTCAATAGTACAAAAATGTTTGCCTGAGTATGAGAACTTGCCTGGAACGCAGCCGTCTAAGCTGTCTAAGCTAAGCTTTAGCACCAGGCCTTAATCTTTGCATCTTCGCACTGTTTCACCTCTTCTCGAGGAGCATTCAGTGGCAGGGAAAAAGACCCAAAGCGCTACAGACATTGCGAAGTTTTGCAGCTTATTGATGATGCATGCCAAGTCTTGAGGCTAAGCAGTGACCGTGCCCAGAAGCTTCTACCTCAAAATCCTGATGCGAAAGATCAAGAAGGCTTGGCCCAAAGCACAGTGCCCAAATTTTTGAATGCTCCTCCGGTGAGTTGCCAGGAGGAAAGCCAACGGCGGGACAACCAATAGGCAAGTTCTGCCGAACGTGCGCGGAAACTTTTTGGTTTGGACATACTGCGGAAGCAGCTCAAAAGCAATAGATCTCTCATAAACAAATGGGTTCGGTCCATTTTCTTGGCCACATTGCTTTGAACCTCCAATAAGCCAACACCGGTGTTGGGTCCCTCAATGCGCCCATCCTGCCACACAGAACCACCCGTCCGTCGCAGGTGGCAATGCTCCGGCTGTTGGAACAGGTCTGGGCTCCGCCTCACTCGCGACGGCCCGCGCGGCACGCCGCCCTCGGAGCCTCCCATTGTCGGTGGTGGAGCCTTCCCAAAGACCACTCGACGCTTCTTCGGGCGCTGAAGGACCAGGAGTCGGAGGGATGTTTGAAGGATGACAAGGGCAGTAGGTTGACATAGGCCCAAGAAGCTAAGGACCAGGAGCCAAGCCAGTTGATGCACCACAAGTCTTGCCAGGCTTTCGAAGAAGACCTTCCATGGTGGCTCGGAGGCCATCCATCAGCTTTGGTTTGGTCTCTTGGAACGTAGCTTCTGCCAAAGAAGCTGCCCAACATCTCTGATGGGAGTCAGTGCGCATCATGGCACGTCCCAACGAAAAGCACGTCTCAACTGCCAACTGCGAGCACCTTGGGCACCTTGAGCACCTTGAGCACCTGCGATGTCTGCCAGGTTTCCGGACTTCGATGTCTACCTGAACGAATCCTTGATGCCCGTGCTAGCACAGGTGTGAAGGGCTTTGGAGCGTTGGAGCGTTGTTTTGAGGAGAACAAGAACCAGTGATGGTCACCCGGTCCAAAGCCCCACAGCTCCGGTGTGGAGGTCTTGTCAAAAATGTGTCACCCACCTCTGACCTGGTGCTATCTACTGCCTACAGCAGCCTTTCTGAGTGTGCTGATGTCTGAAGTGTGATGTGTAGCTTCGGCCGCACCTGATGAGGCCCTCGATGCGCTGGGGCGACAGGTCTCGCGCATGCATCAGCAAGGAGACAAGCTGGATGCCAGGGTGGAGCCCGCCATGTCTATTGGAAGGTGTTGTTTCGTCACGGCATGTTGCGGTCCAAGCACGGTCCAAGAACCACCCCAGTCAGCACCATCCTACTTGGCGGCCGTGGGACTGCCATTTGGTGGGCTGTGCTGGCGGGACTGTTAGGGTCCGACAGAAGCGCACAGCCGGTGGTGGACCGTGGGTTTCAGCATCCGGAGGTGTCTCCAAATTTTTGTTGCTGGTTGGTCGTGAGCTCGCCAGGTTAGAGCTCGCTTCAATCCCATCACATGGTACTGGCCTTAAAGCTTCGTTCTGCCTTGTCCTTTGTGGACACAGTCATGTGATGGGCTTCTGCTTTGATATGATTGTTTGCGAATGCTTCAAGTGCGAGGCTTGCTCAGCAGCTCCTTCGGAGACATCCAAGGTCACAAAAAGCCTACATTTAAACTGTGGTTCGAACAGGTTCAAACGTCCAGGAAGGGTGTGGTGGTTTTCGCAGGCCAGTGATTAAAACGACATATTGCGCGAAGCTCGACATAAGAGCTCGTGGAGATAATTTCCCGCAGGCCAGCAATCAGAAGCAGCATGGCCTTGCTTTTTCAACCTGACAGGGTGGCGAACACCCCGCGGCGGATAAGCCTATACAGGACGACACTGCAGAGACTCAGTCAGACAGAGTCACAGAGACTTCTTAAGACGTGTGGAAGACTTTCTGCGACGCCTGTGCCATCGCGACCTGTTTGTTTTCCTTGTGTCTCACAAACCTTTTCCCACACAGTGTCCCTTTTCAGACCATCCATGTGTAGAATCGTTACATACATTTACCCCATTTATGACCAATGTATGAATATGACATATTTATATATATATATATATTGTGAATTTGATAGGCAGAAGAAGCAAGGCAGCAAGGCATTACCAGCTGAGCATTCATGACGGTCGGTCGCAGAACTGTTTTCGCACCAGAGCGCTCTTGTTCGAAGAGCCTAGAAAAGGCGCCACGCCGCTGACACGCCGTCTGTCCGCTTTTGATGGTGAGCGGAGCCTGAGACTAAAGGTCTTGGGCTTTGCTAGCTGCGCTGTTCCAGCGCCGCTCCTTCAGCGCTCGCTCCACTTCCCTGGCTGCGCGGCCTCGGCTGGGGCACTACACCCTCGACGAGATCTTTGTCCTTGACGAGGACAGCTTTGCCTGCATTGTAAACCAACAAACCCTCACCTCCATGCAGGTGCTTACATGAATGCTTATCAGAAGTGGCCCATTGGTTTGAGGTGTAGTGGTGGTTGGCCTTGGGTGCAAAATTGTATCAGCGGCATAGCACACAGAGCAGTCTTGGATTGCGACGATGCTGCACATTTTGCCATCGCCTGCAGACCAAATGCTACATTGCATACAGGCTATGTATTGCGCCAGGAAGACCCGACTCAGTTCGGCTTCCAAGCTTGCCAGTACACCCCCTATCATTGTTCTGTGGCCGGGACTTGCGTGTCCAAAAATTGGCCGAGGTGTAAGAC